TTAGTATGAGAATTCAAGAGTTCCTAAAAAAACATCTCAACAAAACTGTCTACTGAAGCCCTACACATTCAAATCGAGCGGCTCTAGAAAGAAAGCTAATCTGATTGGTTCAAACAGCTGTCATTCAGCGAATTTTGACCACTCAGGGATTAAACCCTCCTCTCTATAGCATGCAAGCATGTTTTTTATTTTGCTAAACCTATTTATTCTGAATACTGTATAAGACCATAAATACCAGAAAAGTGCAAAAAAATTAAGAAAATATATAAGATATATAAATACAAATATATGAAAACATTTAGAAACACTTTTTAAACTGGAAACATTATAAGAGGCCTCTCTGGGGCTGCTAAAACCGAAATACAACAGTAAAATGTATTCTTTTCATTATTTATATTACTTATTCTGAGAAAACCAATTAATGTCCTGTCTTCATTAAAAAAATCATGCACATTTTTTTGTATACAGTACTTGTTCAATCACTTTCAACTTTTTTCCACGGTACTAGACATTTTAGAGAAGACCTGGAAAAATACATTAACATCCTACATTAAGTGTCCCACCACATCAGTTTGAAGACAAATAAATGGGAAACAGTGGCCCCAGCTCAGCAATCTGTATCATATCTCAGAATGGCCAGGATCACCACAGCTCATCCCACACTCCCAATCCATTCTCAGTCCATGACACTCCCATCACTGAGACAGTCTAGCGTACCAAATTCAAGGAAAAACATTAATAATAAGTCCTTTGTCCCCTCTGCAATAAAACTGCTCAATGAATGTATGTAAATATATATTACCTCCATTACCTATTTATTTAACCATTCGTTCATGTTTTACATACTGTTGTTGTGTTTCCATGTACCCCTTGTGATTTTATGTGAGGTGTCTAATACGTTTATGTGAGAAGGCAAAGACAAATTTCCACAGTAGTGGATATACTTTTTTTTTCATTTTTAGAATATTTAAACAACCAGGATGTTTGGCAAGATACTTTAGCCTGTATAAAACATAAACATTACCCTCTTGGTATCAGAACCTTATTTAGTTTCAGAAGACAATAGTGTCTGGAGTGAATAAAGTATACACACCAGCTACTATAAACGAGAGATGATAGAAATACACATTTCTAGAAATAGAAATGATATACTTACCTATATTATCTATATTATATTAGCTCAACAGAGCACCACAGTCACCGCCCACTCCCCACTCAGTTGTTCAGTTTTTGACACTTGTACCATTGTATCACCATGATACAAAGTCAAAACACAAGTGCAGTCCCCCCACACTCACACAATTCAGTCCACAAAAATTGGAAAATAATCTTCCTTAAAAAAGGCATGTCAAAAACATCAATTTAAAAAATCAGTCAATAATCAGTAAAAAAGAATACTGAATACTTATCTCGACCACAAGAAAAAACAATCATGCTATGCAGTACGTATCCAGCAACCACAAGAAATAAAATAAAGCTAATCAGGTATCATTTTAAATTAAAAAATAAATGTAGAGGGAAAATGTCAATGAGTACCCACACAATCACAACACACAGATCACAATGTTGATGGGTTCCCATTAAGTACATTAACATAACAACCTGACATCAGCCCATGCAACCAAATCACAACAAAAAAGTCAGCCAGAGGAGTCTAGTCACATTGTCACAACACAATACAGTACAGAACATTAGCTCTTTATCTGGGTTATTCTATTCAATCTCAGGAAGCAAGCCCTTTAGGTCTGTTGAACTCCTCTGCTTCCTTAACTTACATAAACAGTCATTGCCTGTCAGCATGGAGAACTATGAGCACCATGGGATATAATAAAAAGGACTGTATGTCATCTGCCATCAATGACTTCCCCTTTCCTGAAAAAGCACGGTTCGTCTGGCAATCAAGGAGATGAATTTCACCACACTCAATTCAGCAAGTGAACAGGGCCAAGTTACCTGTTTTCTCTCTGAAGGAGGTCCCTGAAAAGAAACGTGTTAATGATTCTGAAAGAGCAATCTCCATACATTCTGTGGAGTTGTTCAAATTAGGATTGTATCTGCTAAAAATGTAAATCCATTAGCACAACACATGGATGAGGACATGGTGTACAGAAGAAGGCTTCATTTTTGGCCATTGGAACCCTTTCCATGACAAACGCCATCTGTTCAGAGACGATGGATTATATGTGAATGAAATGGGCAGCAGTTGTCTTGGCACAAGGATCCACAAAGAAATACAGAAACATGCAAATGATTAGAATGGAAGAGGGGAGACGCAGAAGAAAATCCAAAAGGAAGTAAAATAGAAAAGAACAAAGGGAAAAAAACAAAAGATTACGTAATTAAATGCTAATACCCAAGTGTTAGGAGCTTTGAAACAAATTACTGTACATGAGATAGAAGCTGCCACATGAGCAGGTGTTTATGATGGACAGTAATCCCATGCCAGCCACAAGGGTCACAATTCTTAAAGCCCTCACAGCAGGAAAATCTGAGGCTGGTGAACTCAAGAGCTTATGGGGAAGACGGGGTTAGAGTACTGGATCTTACCAAGCACCTTCTTGGAGTCCAAGTGCCATTATACCTCAAACCAAAGGCTGCCACCACAACAGGTTGATCAGAAAGATGCTTTTCACAATGGGACTTGAAGCTTGAGATTAACAGCCACGCTGTAAGAGGTGGCTGTGAACACCACTGCCAGTCTGCAAACCTCTTTGTGCTTGAGTGGCTTTGAGGAGATTTTGTTTAACCCAGGACCACGTCTGATGAAGATTGAGTCCTGCCTCATCCACAAGTAGAGCAAATGTCCTGGAGGAGTCCAGGAGCTGGAGATGTGGCTGAAATCCATCAGCATACTGAAACACTGATGTCCCAGTGGAAGTGTTGGTTAGGATATTGTGGGAAATCTTGGCCCAGGCGAGAAGTTGGTACTAATTATGGTGAAACTCTCATACATGACATTGCTAGTTCTTTTCAGGCTCCTCATTAATTTTCTCAATATGACCATAAGAGATTGATTTTCATGCAAGGTTTTCCGCAGAATGCACACCAGAATCAAGATAAAAATTAAAGTCTCCAATAAGAGTTTTCTGTGGGTATGCCATGAAAACGGAAGACATGCCAAGCAAAACTATCCTTCATATACTGTATGGTGCAGTGGGGAGTTTCTTTAAAGGAATAAAATGTGCAGCCTTACAGAATATGTCCACCACCACTAATATAGAAGTGTAACCCTGGGATTTCAGCATGTCAGTGATTAAGGCTGCAGAAATGTGTCCACAGCTTGTTGGTCACAGGTAAAGATGCCAAAAGCCTCAAGGCTCGAGTTCTGAGTTCCTTAGGCTGGTTGCATTTAGGGCAGGCAGTGACACATTGGGCATCATCCTTGCCCCACGAAGCCCACAAAAGTATCTTCTGAGAAGAGTCTGTCTGTGTTTGATGCCAGGATGACAAGTAATTCTGGAGGCAGGGGTCATTTGAGAACCCCTATTGTGAATAAAAATCACAAACCAGGTGAGAGACAAAGAGAGCTCTTACCCCAAAATTCTATCCAACCATGCATGCCATGTAATCATGTAATCTATAATCTTATAGTATATTATTACTATATTATTGTAATATACAGTATGATTAACAATAGTTCAGCTTGTTCCTTATATTTTGTATCAATATTTGTCTGCTATTTTGTCCAGCAACCAAATCATGTCACATTCTTGGCTGCTAATGACCTCATGTCTCAGTCTGTTAGCAGACTGAAACAGTGCATAGAGGTTAATTCTAGAAATAATAACATACATTTATTATTGGGGGTGGAAGAGGGGGACTGTCTCGCAATAAAACAAAGTGCATCATTTTCAAAAATGGCTGCGTGCAAGTGGAGAAACGAGAACTCTACATATCATGTGATGCAGCACCTTCACAAGGACAAAAGAACAGACTGGAACAGGTGTAGGCAAACCTGGTCCTGGAGCATTAAAGTCCAAAAAGTCTTAAATGGCACCTTTAAATCAGCTGATTGTTAAGGCTTGAAAGAACTTGGGAGCTTTGATCAATTTAGTAAGTGGTTCCGTTATGTCAGAAATGGTCACAAGAGATCCTTTAGAGCTACGGAGTGTTGTTATACTGAACTTAAAAAACTTGTAGCTGCAAAAAATCTATATTTTTATACCAAGTGAATTTACATAGATTTGGTTAGGTAGATAGGCAATTTTATTATGCTGATTAACAGCTAGCATCTACAAGCTTTATCAAAAGGGGTCTAGTGTAAAGGTCACAGGATAGTAGCATGAATGGCCATCTCTGGAAACAATACAAGCTCTACATCTGCAGCATAGGCTTTGACTGGATTACAGATGCTGTCTTGTGGAACTGTTTACTGGTCTCTGGGCCCTAAATGCCACATTATCCTAGCTCATCTCACAGAGGGGCCCAAGTCTGGCAAGCAGGACTGCAGTGGCATAACTGTTACACGTAAAACCATCATGAGGACATGCATTGTCTTGCTGAAATGTCACATGATCCCATAGGAAGTGCAGCAAGTGAGATTTATGGTGTCCCAGTTTATGCCCTACTATTGACAGACTGTGTTTGACTGTAAGAGAGAGTCTTTATTATCCCCAGGGGGAGCAAGTTGTTTTACAGCAGCAGTGTTGGTGTACAGATAGAAGAAAAAAACACAAAGTTGGAGTTGGAGTTTTACCTATACAGGCAGAGCCTTTTTGGAGTATTTAGCATCCATTAGTGCATCTACTATCTTATCTTCTGCAAACTTTGTGATTCACTCAAAATAGTTTTAGAGGTTTCTATATTTCAATGTGCTATACTTAGGGGAAACAAATATCACTTTCACATGAATTAGTTGTAGAGTTTAGTTTTGGATGCCATGGTAAAATGTGCCATTTTTAAACTTCCAAAGCCACTGTTAAAGTAGAAGGTTTGCTCTTCATTTTTTGCCAAAATTATCTGCTCTTGAAGTTCATCACTCCATGCTTTGTTCCACACAGATCTACCCTGTGTCTGTTGAGCTAATGCAGGTGATTGAAGACTTCATACACATTGTGGGCCTGGGAATGAAGGACTTCCACAACTCCTACCTGATGACTGGAAACCTGGGTATGTAGAGCAAGAGATTTTTTTTGCTGCTTTTGCTGAACTCTAAATCATTAATTCAGACATATAAGCATTAGGTCCTGCTCTAATGTCCCGTGTCAATTACCTGACGTTAATTAATTCGGAATTAATGTGCATAATGTCCAGGAAGTAATTTGCATAAATCAATAACATTAATTAAGCTTCATATTAAAATGTGCTAGATTGTTACAGAAATACTTTCATAAAATATTATACAATTTATCAGCTACTTATGAGTGTATAGAAGAAATGGAGTCTTTGTAAATGGTACGTAATGTATGACCAAGATTTCTCAAATGTAAAATACATTTAATAGTTTGATTACTATTAAACAAGATGAACTGAACAAGATGCCATGTGTAATTGGTACAGTAGTTCAAACAAAGATAAGCTTCACCTTCTTCAACACTATAGCATGTTTTTAAATAATCAAAAAGAGAATTACACTGTGCTGTGGATTCTTTGGATAATGTAAGTAAAAAACTGATTAAAAACTAAACTAAAATGCACTGAAAAAAACTGTGAACTTTATTTTTACATGTAAAGCTGGTACCAGTTTTTGTTTCCAAACAAAACATGGTAATTGTGGTAATTATTGCCCTTTTCCAAGAGATGACCAAGAGATTTAAAGTTCTGAGGTCTTTATTCAGAAGGATTCTAAGAGGAAAAAAAAAATTAAATTTGTTTTAAGAACCGCTGAGAAAAAACACTGTCAGTGAGTTCAGTTAAGCCAGAACACAGATGAAGTTTACAAAATGATACTGCTATTTATACAGTATGTGATTTTAGTTGGTAAATACTGTATTTTAAAAGGTATACTGTATCTTAAAATGGAGAGACATAATAAAATATAATCTATAAATATACTTCTAGCAGCTCACTTACTAAAATTGCTAAAGATATTAAGAACTGCAGTTAAGGAAAATCTAATGAAAATCTGTATAGTGTCCAGAACAGTATAATTCTCTGAAGACTGCTCTCAGTAATATGACTTCTGATTTACAGTGCAGTACGCAGCACACTGATCAAAGCTGGACATTGTTGTGCGGGAATTCACATTATTTTCCTAACATTTCTGAAATGTGCAAATATGACTGAAGCCTTGGATAAAATTTTAGATTTCAATATTTTTGATTGTTTAATAAGTTACAATGTTGACAAGGTAAGCAAAGTTTAATAAGTTTTGAATAATAAATTCCTGACCCCTTGCGAGCTGGTCCAGAATTAATTTTTGTAGTGGAGTGTTATCTGCTGCGTTGTTTGGTGATATGTCATCAAAATCTAAACATGAATATTGAAATTAAAGACAAAAATCTATCCTTCAATAGACGTCTTCTAGTCACATTTGCAGAGCATTTCTCTACATAGCTATATATTGTACATCAACCATTTTTTCCATTCCTTTTTCAAGTCAAGCATTTTGACAAACACAAACCCTCATTGGCTACATCTGTCGAGAAGATGCCTTTGGGTATCACCTTCCTTAGACCATTCTCACTTTGTTTTGCTGTTTCAGCACTTAAGTTTTAACATTGTCCTGCTTTCATCTTATTAGATAAGATGTGCTGTAGTTTATTTCATAGTTTAATAAAGATACTGTAAAACAGTTACTATTGATTGCAAGAGAACCATTTTTCCCTATAATGTCTCATCTCCAAGACTCATAAAGAATCTGCCACAATCAACAAAAAAGGAAGTCATCATAATGATTTTGAAAACAAGAAAGGCAGAAAGCATTAAGCTTTCCTCCCTTTCTAACCAAGACCATTTTGACACAAAGAATCCTTTGTCACTCTTACCGCCTGCTTGTCCTTGCTCGAAGAGTTCTAATCAGAGCACTATTAAGATCAAACACTTCTAATTAAAAACAGAAAATGCATCATTGAATTTTCTGCAGACTTTTTTCTTATTCAAATCTGTTTCATCTCTGATTTTTTCTCACATTACAGATAAGTGCACTTGAAACTAGGCACTAAATATTAATAACTTGTGCATTTGTTTTATTTACGTTGGCAGCTGAAAAGGCAACAGTGAAAACAACAGGGACAAAGAAGTCAGAATGCCATGAAAGCAATGTTCTGTGTTGATGTTTATTTTTTGTTTTGATTTGTAATGTTAACAAAGCTGTGCACATTACATATTATCCACATAAATCAAGCTGTGGAAATGTAAACTTTAATTGAAGAAAAATATATGGCAGTGTAGGTTCTTTAGGTTCTAAATAAGATGTACTGTATTCCCATATACAGTATATAGATACTCCACACCAGTTTTGTCAGAGAAATTTTACTCCTTAAAAAAGGTGGTGTTAAATACGAGTCAGAACAAATCTGCAGCTTTTAGCTGTGCTGTTAAATATTTCTGTACACATACTGTATGTGAAGGACTAAAATTGGATTTTTAATGTTAAAAAATAAAATGGACTGTTTGCATTGTCAGTATTAGTATATGAAATGTAATTAAAGAATCACACATTTTAATTTGATGGGTGGAACATTTCAACATTTGCTTTGTAGCTTTCACAGTATTTTTTCTGCAAAGTTAACAAGTTACCATAATATTACAAAGCAAGATGAAGTGAAAATTATTTCTGACAGATCATCATTAATATGAAGCTGTCTCAACAGTGTGATGCATCAATATAGTTTTTTCCCTTGCCCTGCTAGCTCGAGGCTTTTCACATTTCTGCATTTGTGATGGATGAGCAGAATCCCGTACCCACCAGAAGTGGGGTCACTGCTGTTTATCATCTTTATTTTCTACTTATTCCAAACATTTCATTAAAATTTCAGGAGGTAAAATTACATTGTACTTTACATTGTATGAAAGTGTATGCTGTGTGGAAGAAATATGAAAACATTAAAATACAAAATAAATTAAACACAAGAAACTGTCAGAAACAAAAAACATCTTTAGCCCTACCTATATGAAGTGCAGAAATAGTTATAGCTACAGTATATGATATTAAGAACTGATTAGCTTCGTTGGAATGTACAGTAAACTATGTACCCTGCTGATTAGAGTCGGTACTGTGATTGTCTTTGAGCAACACAGTGGGTCATCGGCCCAGAGCTTCTCCTGGTTTCTAAGCATGAAGTGATCACAGTGATTCCTCCCAGCGATGGTGAGTCCCATGTACACAGCTGGGTAGACTGGAGCCATTGGAGTGAGGTACCTTACTCAAGCTACATCAACAGGGGCCTGAACACACAGCCCACCAGGTGTAAGTTCAGATGTTTGGCCACTATGCTGCACAGACCCAAGGGTGTTCAGTAAGAAGGGGATCGACTCCTGTAGTATTGTGCACCCGTGAAGCGTAGGGGCGTGACGATATTGGCAGACTAAACAGGGGGCAGGAAAACGTAATAAACTAAAATACTAAAGGGTCGGAGCGCACTCAAGAGGAGGCATGATGATCATGACATGTACTGTACAGGTAAAAAAATAGGACAATGGAACTGTATTCAGTTTTAATTAACAAAGAAGAGTTTATTAAATTAACTACCAAAAACTTTTTTTTTCTTCAGTAATTCACCTAACAGAAAACTTGACGAATATTTGAGAAACAAATTTAATTTACTGAATTGTACTGAAAGACAGCATTTATAGAAAGTTTTTCCTCACTCAGAATCAAAGCCCCATAATCTGTTGTTGTAATCTGCTCATCTGCAGCTCTGCTCACTGCTGGCAGCCAAGTAATCTGAAAACATTAGGCAATTGTCTAATGGACAATCCCTGTGGGATTTAGTGACAAAAATGCCATCTTGAACTACAATTGCAAATTGAATACTCTTGCAATATCCTTATCAGAAAAATGATTTTCTTTCTGCTTGTATAACCAATATATGTTTGAAATCTTAAGTATAAAGTTCAGTGTACTGTATGTGCCTTTGTCTGTCTTCATGCATTTGAAAATCGCTCAACAGATTTGGCACACAGGTACAGATGGGTAGGAGGAGGGTGTCAGAAGTTACATTTTCCATTACATTCTTGGCTTTTATTTTCAAAGGTGCAGAACATTTATACTATAAAATAATACAAAGTTATACTCCAAAAGAAAGGTGTTTTCAAATCATATTTAGATTTTTTTGTTATGAATATTGACTAATATTTACTGCAGCATATGCACATTATGGTACATACTGTACATTTTTCATATTAATGGTCATACTGTCCATTGTTATTTTTCAAACAAACTACCACATTTTGTAAATAGATGCAAGACATTTTATTTGTTACTTCCAAGGAAAAGTGTGGATGGCTGCAGTATTGTTATTATTACACTGTATTAACTTGAAAGCTCATGATACATCATTTTTAAAACATATACTGCATTTTTCCTATCCTGAATATTAACCAGGCAGCCATGCTTGCATATGGCAATGATTCCATTTCTGACAACATTTACAGATTAATGGCCTAACCATTAAATATCTGATACCTTCTCTGCACCAAATGTAGCACACAGGTGCAGGATTAACACAAAAGGATGTGTTTTTTTAACTAAAACTGTCACATTAACAGTTATACATTTTTAGAACTCACAGAATCTGCAGCAAATTCTGAAAACAGATGCAGGTTGTTTTGTCCATTTTCTTTCATGAAAATTGCTGGATACCTCAATTATTTTCCTTATAGAACTAATATGCCTTCATCTGATAACACTGATCACAGATTATTCCGTCTTTATTATGAATGCTAAGTAATGACCCCTGAAAATTCAGTTATGCCAACATAACTGACCTGACTGCGAAAGAAACGAAAACACTTCAATTCCCATTTTAATATTTTCACGTGAATAGATTTACCTCTATGCAATAACAGTTTTTTGCCGAAAAAAACCTTTTACTTCCATTTGAAAAGTGGAAAGCAACTGTTGGACTAAGATGTTGAAGCATAATTGAGTGAATTATGGCACTTTCCAGACATAGTAACAAATATCCTGCTGTCGCTACTGCACTGCCCTCAGTGGGGTACTTCAG